AATTAATGTATTTGAACAATGTACAATGAATGCTCATTAGCCTGAACTTGAACGAGAAAGCTAGACTAAGAGCTGGTGATGATACTTTTATATTCTGCAATCCACTTTTGTGAGAAACAACAATTAAAAAACAAATCAGTTCTTGCATTGAGTAACTTTATAATTATATGGGCAGTGAAATGAAATTCGTATATCATCTACATGTATAGAAATGTACAGTAACAATAGGTATGTATTTTGATGATTCTGAAGCACAGAAGGATATTGAGTACTTCAATGCTCAAGTAAAAGGTCAAAGAAAAATTACACAAAGATGGGCCCATTTTCTTACACATCACTTGGAAATGTATCAACTTTATCTGAGGTATCCCAATTACTCCTTTAATATTCACATTCATTTCTCCACACTCTGTGCATAAAAATGAAATTACTTGATGATCTTTTACTTTTATAATTTTTCCTTTCATTAAAAAATAAATGCATCCTTTAGACATCTTTTGTTTACTACTAATCTTAGAGATGTCTGTCTTTAATCACACCACTCAGTTCCATTTGGCATATTTTGTATCAATTATCCTCATTACTAGTTGATCTTCCCCTTTCATTTTGTCATCTGCTAAAAGGAGCAGCTTGAGAAAGAGCCTCACTATAAATTTTTTTAACAGAAGCTTTCCCACTTGATAAAAAAAGGTTCATATAAATTATAATATGCCTTCATCAACTGTACCTAATACTTAGTTCAATCATACCTCTCTTCCCTGGAAGCCATTTTGTTGGTTTACCATGTTCGGTCAACCTACTTAATGACTCAGAAAAGCCACACACACACACACACACACACGCACGCACGCACGCACGCACACACAAATGGTAATTTCCCACACGAATATTGATTCTATGCAGGCTTGCTACCAACTCTCTTATGTAACTTCCTTAATGATCTCTGGTTTTCAATTCAAAAAAAGTTTCAGAAATTTGAAAATTGATAAAATAAGTTAAAATGTAAGTTGGAAGTCAGTTCCACATCAAATGAATAGAGAACTCAGAGTCACACTACTGGTTCCATCCCAATGATTAAACATCCCCACTACAAGACTCAAAAAGGCAAAAACCCTTTATTACCTGAGACATCCTAAAGTATACCTTAATTGGAATAAAGGGGGTCAAAACTAGAAGTTCACAGTTTTTAAAAAATATTCGAAAATAATATTCAAGTGAGAAAAGGTAAATAAAACTACATACAAGCACAAACATTCATTAAGTAATCATTTTAGAGGAGAAAAATCTTCAGATGCCAGATAGCTCAGTATCAACTTCTGTATGTTTCTAAAAAAAAAAAAAATCTATAGATATCAGCAGTTTCTGTGAGAGGGTCATCACCTGTCACCCTTGAAGTATTTTCTTTTTTTCATATCTTGCTTGCCGTGACAGGGTAATAAATAATGTTCCATACTAACAAGTAAGTGAAGAAGAATTTGCCATAATTTTTGCTTGTTTGAGCCACTACATTATTATAAGTCTTTGGGAATTAAAGAAGTTACAATTAGCCCAGCATTTAAATCATCTTGTATCTCTTGATTCCCACTGCCAAAACAATATTGAATAGGATGGGTGGGGAGAATATGACACATCCCATTAACTGGTTAGAAAAACTATCTAGTACCTTTTCTTTCACCTAAGTATTGTATACAATTGTATTATAATCTAATTGCTCTACGGAAAGTGAGTAGTCAATCAGTGAGCTGCCCGACTGTCATGTATAAAATGTAGGAATCCAAATCTACAGGCCTTTAAAGAGGAGGGAAATAAATGATGCAGGATAACGTAAAACAGATTTTGTTAAGGTAACACTCCATTTTCATTCTAAGCGTCTTGAGAGCAAGTACCTTTAATTAATTATTAATCAATACTTCTCTCTTTATCTATCCCTAGGTAGACAGGATACAGACAGCATATGTGCTTCCATTTCTTCTTCTTCTTCTTCTTGGTTGGCAAGTAACTACTGCTGTAGACTGTGACCAGTGGCAGGTTTTCCCCAGGCTTGCGTGGTTCACAGTCTAACACTCCTCATCTCATTGCGTCGTCTTCAGTCTCTCAGCACAGCCTTTTTGGCCCAGCAGGATGCTAAGAGCTAACAGGGTGCAATGCCCCATTCCAACAATAAAGTGACTCTACTGGCCAGCTCAGAGCAATAGAACACTGCCATGCCAAAAACTGGAGGGACATATTTTTATATTGGCTCCAGATTTGCAGCCTCCCTTTCTGTTAACAGCTAAATTGCTACATGCCGGAAGTAGAGGAAAAGAAACAACTGAAGCCGGGAAGACTGAATTGATAGAGCAATGCAGGCAAAAGACACAGAAGTATTAAGGAAATGAAGAGGAGGAAAAGGAGAAAAAAGTGATCTTAAACTTTTAGAAAATGAACAGACATGCTTATAGTCTGGCCACAAAGGGCCAGCCTTATAGCCATCACTGACTAGTCCAACACACCTGGAGGGTTCAAACTAGAGAGAAACCACACCTACGGGCTGGCACACACTCCCCTCACACCTTTGAGCCCAGTTGCTCGGCAGCCATTACGAACTCAGTCCCCTGTGGACCTAGCCATGGTGCAAAAGCCAAGCTCATCAGCATGCCAGCAAAATTATTCCATGGAGCCTTTCTCACTTATTCTGATTTTTTTTCAGTCTCCTTATCAAAGGTGCTCCTCAAAAGAAATTTTTCTTTTTTTCTTTTAAAGTTAAGGAAAGATCATTTACTCAATACAAAATATTATATTGAACATTCTCAAGAACTCTGAAAGACAATTAAATATTTTAGTTGAAGTCTAAAGACTATAGCCCTAAGGTTCCATTCACAGATGCACCTGTGATTAAAAGTCATTGACCCAATCTTTCAGTCTAAGTTCCTCCTCTATAAATTAGGACTAGAATGAGTTATGTCACATATCGCTGGAAGGCTTAGTAATACGCATAGTTCTACCCATGATGTACCATGACTTCACTTAATTTGCTTATGATATTCCCACAGACCTAGTATAGACAACAGAAATCAGTTGAATTAATGAATTTGTGTTGAGCCTTAGACATTCCCAAATATTTTCTTCAGTATAATCTTATCTAAGTCTCAAAACTATGATAAGAGGGGTAAGACAAATATAATAAAACACATTTTGCAAATGAAGAAATGAAGGTCCAAGTTGATGAACAGCTTTGCCCCAAAGCAGTCACTCTGGACTTTAAGATTCATTAAATATTAAGAAACACCCTGCACAGAATCAATAACAAGTTATAATCATGCAAAGATAAATGAATTATTGCATCATTTACTCAGTTTGATTAGGGAAATCAACAATTAACATGCTCTGCTTAAAAATTTAAACAGCCAGTGCCAATGCATTAACAATTCAAAAAAAGACAGGTAATCATAAAGAATTGGAAACCCACATAATATGTACTAAGACAGCATCTTCTTGACTTATTCTGCTCATTATTACTTTGTTTTATTATTTATTGATATGAGAGAGAAAGAGAGAAATATTGAGATTTCTTGATTCTTGTATGTGTCCGACTGGGCATCAAACCCACCACCTCAGCATATCCTGATGACGCTCTAACCAACTGAGCTACTCGGGAAAGGACCTATTCTGCTCATTATCTTTTAAATGTAATGTTTTGGAAGATGTTATTGTAAGCTACCACTCAAAGGAAAGTGAAGGCTTGCCTTTCTACTACCAACTCATGTCTCACTTCATAGTGAATTTCTTCTCGTTTGGTAATAAACGGAAACACACAGAAGTACCCACAAGTAAGCTAAAATGCACGTTGTCTTCGCAAGGGACTCTTGAATGGTTTGGATTTGATATAAATTAAACTACATTTCTAAAATGAGGAGGTCTTTCAAGCTTTTATTTCTGCACGTATTTTTGTGCTTCCAGTAGAGCTTTGAGCCCCAAAGAGCTCGGTGTGAATTCCTTGGAGACTATCAACTACCCAGAACAGTGCCACACTGAAACCTGTATGAACAGAACGACCTTAAGAGTTACCCCTACAGATGCACTGAAAAGCACACACGCACCCAAATAAAAACACACAAAACCAATTCTGTACGCGATTTTCAAGTGTTAGTTCTTTAAACCATTTCAAGTTTCTTAAGTAGAGAAAGTCCCTTTCACATCACAGTCGAGTTAGGGGCGCCAAGAGGGGGCCCCATCTCCACATCAGCCAGGTTCTCATCTTAATACGCCTCGTCCTTGGTCCTTGGTCCATCTACTGCGCAGATTCCGGTACTGGAAGCATCAGTGGTAGGCATTCGTTCGCCTCTGGCTTTAGCCGGTTTTGGAATAGCCGGGTTCCTCCTTCTCACACCCTTCCCGCAACATTTTTGCACTTTGCGTGGGTCTGATCCAGGCCTCTAGCCTCCCTCTCCTGCTACCAGCCTGGAAGAGTCACAGCGGCAAACGAAGTGTTGGGCAGGATAAGTGGGTCCGCCGCCTGCCCGTCCGGACTGTCGCTGTGACCCCCATGCCTCGCACGGAGGGTGTCGGAGGCACACGGGTGGGGCGGCGACAGCACGAGGCCCGCTACTTCCACGCCATCGCCGCAGCCCCACGCCTTCCCGCCTCCGCCCCGGCCACCGCCCCCCCCAACCCCTGTCCCCTCTGGTGCTTGAGCGTAAAGCTGGGGTACGAGTGGAAAAGGAAAGTGAGGCAACACGCATACACGGGGGTGCGATTGGGGACACACAGCGCTAGGCAGGCAAAACCGCGCCTCTGCCCGAACTCCCGCCTCGGACCAGCCGACAGCCCGGGCGCTCCCGGCTCCCTGCTCTGGGACAAAGCTACCACGGCCTCTCCGCCAGCAGGACACGTCCTCGCCAGCTCTCTTCAGTCTCCCCGGGCACGACTCCGTCCCCAAGGGCCTCGGAGCCACCCTGGGGACAGAGGGGACCCCAGGTCCGGCGCCTGCAGCCCCTGCCCGGCGTCCCGCCGCTGCTCACCTGTTCAGCACTTTGCGGATCCTCTGGCGCATGCCAGCCCGGGAGGAGGCGGACAGGCTGCTGCCGCCGCCGCTGCCCTCAGCCGGCAGATTCTCGATGGTGGTCACCACATGGTTCGGCGGGGCTGGAGGCGGTGGCTGCAGCTGCTGCTGCGGCGGCTCGGGGGGGATCATCGCGGCGGAGGCAGCGGCGCAGCGAAGATCAGAACGCAGCCGGGCGCATCGTGCGCCGGCTCCGGGCCCTGGAACGCGCAGAGGATCCGGCGGGCCGCCGCGGCCGGGAGGCGGTGCTGCCTGCGAAGCTGCGAGGCAGGGAGGTACCCGCGCCTACGGCCGCCGCCGCCGCCCAGCCCGCCACTCACTCCTCTCCAGTCCCAGCGCGCGCGCCCTCGCTCCGCCGCCCCTCGTTCCTGCCCTGGCTCTTCCCGAGACACGTCCCCAAGTCCTGGCAAGCCCCGCAAAGTGACCGTGAAAGGGATCGCGCAGAGATGCCGAACTGCCCGTGGCCGCAAAAGGCTCCCACGGAGAGAGGGGATGAGGCTCCGGGCTTCGCCTTCTCTCCTGGTGCTCAGGTCTTCTCTGGGCGAGCGCCGCCTAAGCCTGTCCCCTGATTGCTGAGAAAGCTGCCGCCTGTGTCTCAGCGAGTGAGAGACCGAGTGAACCCGAGAGTTGGGCGGGGGTGCCACGGCGGCGGCAGCAATAAGGGGGGGCCAGAGCGGAGGACACGAACGTTCTGTTCTCGCCAGAGGGCGCTACTGAGGTGTCTCTTAGCCAGCGACCCTCCTCTCCCCAGTCCACAAGGGTCCAAGGTCTGAGTTGCCGTGATTGTGTGTGTATGTGTGTGTGCGTGCTGCGTGCGTGTGTGTGTGTGTGTTTTCCCGTGTGGGTCTAGGAGTAGAACCTCCCTCTTCAGTTGCTGGAGACGCACTGCCCCTGCAGAGATGCCAGGGAATCTAGCACCACGTTCCCGGACAGCGACAGGAATCTGAGACACCTGGGCCCCTACACGCACCTGAAGATGTGTCTGACATGGCATTAAACAGAAAAGATGTGGGGAAGGCTTATTTCGCTTTTTCCTGCTGTCTTCCTGTCTTCAAGATCCCTTATTCATCAGCTCTGAATAAAAGGAAAAAGGATAAAAGCAATAGGTTGGGAATCTGTAGGTAGATTTTTAGTGGTGGCATGTGGATTCCAGGGTTAAACCCGCTGCTCAGTTTACCTCCCTCTGACCAGTCGTGGTTAGTAACACAACACTTGCAAGATTTCCATTCCATTCTTACCATTACATCATCTGAGTTTCCCTTGACAAGTGCTAGTTTTGTTGAGTTTCTTTTGGAAGCAGAAGTTGGCACTCAGCTACCCTCTTTCATGTTGCTCATTTTGAAGACATTCCCACTCATGTAAGGAAGGGTGGAATTTTGCCTGGGTTTCAGACCTCAGAGTCACCAGACATTTTGACTAATCTGTTTAACACAGACTGCACCTGTGTGCTGCATTGGATAAAAGCTTCAAATTCATGCTCCAAAGTGACTAATGATCCTCCCCAAATTGCTGAACAGTTGCTTGAAATTGCTTGTGTTGCTGTAAATGCCCAGTGGCCCAAGCTTTCTTTATACCATTCACCTACTCTTTTTCTTTCTCTCCTAAGTCTGGTTAAATCTATTCAACACATACTGCAATGGCATCTAGAATGATAGAGCTTCACTGTTTTGATTCACGAATTGAACTCATGCGGTAGAGAAGAAAGCAAAGCCAGTGAAAAGTTTTTGTAAAACAGGAAGAGAAAGGGAGTAGAATGGGTAAATTTTTAAATTTATATGAAGAAATGTATAAAGTAATTGGGAGATCAAATTGGCAGAGCTTTAGCAAGCAACCCCCATGAATAAGAAACTGGACAGTATAATGCTAAGTGAAATAAGCCAGGTGGTGAAAGATAGATATCCTATGATCTCACCTGTAAAAGGAACCTAATTGACAAAACAAACAAGCGAACAAAATAGAACCAGAGACATGGAAATAAAGAACAAACTGACAAGAACTCAAAGGGAGGAGGGAGGGGGAAGGGAAATAATGGGAAAGAAGGGGAAGGGTCAAGTTAAGGATCATGTATAAAGGACCTAAGGACAAAGACAACAAACAGGAAAGAGGGGAAGGATTGAATGTGGGGGGTGGGGGGGAAGGGCAGGGGAGAGTAATGGGGGGAAATGGGGGCAACTGTAATTGAACAACAATAAAAAAAGGAAGTTCATATATGGTATCGGTAGATATGGAGAATGAGCACAGAGCAGAAAAAGACAATGGGCAACAGTTTCAAAGATTGTTTAAACATTTTACAACCTTTTTCTGTTTACATAATTTTTTTGTTTTGTGTTTTGGAAACACTTCTTTGGGGGAAACTCAGAATAGTGTTTGTATGTTTAAAATTGACTTTTTTAGAGAGGGAAAGAGGGTAGGGAAAGGAAGGAGAAGGAGAGGGAAAGAAATATCAATGTGAGAAAAATCAATTGGTTCCCTTTTGCATATGCCTGGGACCTGGGACCTGGGACCGACCCTGCAACCAAGGCATGCACCCTGACCAGGAAACGAACCCAGTACCCTTTGGTTTACAGGACAGTACTCCAACCAAGCCACACTGCTCAGTTGACCTTTTCTGATAAAAGAGATGGAGGGTTAGAAAAGGAGATATGCATTATTACTTGTGTACAAGGGCTAATTTTCCAGGGTTGGACTACATTTTCATAGTTTTAAAATACCTAAGTAGTATTCAACAAGTGTTCCATTTTTAAAAGCCTGTTATGGTACAGTGTTCAAAATGACACAGTAAGTCTGTCATTTCTATCCTGGTGGCATGGTAGGAAAGCTTGCCATATTCAATGTGGGCACTGATTCAGTAGTGTGTTTCCTCTAATGCTTCATAATTTATTAACCCTCCCAAGATATTAGCCAAAACATAAATGAATGATTTCTGTCTTAGCCAGTTCAGGATGCTATAAAAAGTACCATAGGCCAGGTGGGTTAATCAATAAACATTTATTTCTCACAATTCTGGACACTGGAAAGTCCAAGATTAAGGGAACAGCAGATTTGGTGTTTGGTGACAGCCTTGTTCCTTGGGTTTGTAAACAGCTACCTTCTTGCTATATCTCCACATGGCAGAGAGAGGAATCATCTCTCTTATCTCTTCTTTAAGGGCCGTAATCTCATTCATGAGGGCTCCATCTTTATTACATAATTGCCTCCCAAAGACCCGCTTCCACATAGCATCACACTAGGGATTAGGGCTACCACGTATGAATTTGGGAGGAACATAAGCAAAGATTAGTTCATAGTAATACCCCGGAAACTCTATTTTAAATATAGTTAGCTATCAGCTATCTGTTAACAGAGAAGCAAAATCCTCATATATATACCTTTTATCATTTTTAGCTGATGACTTCAATATTTTCTCCCTCTACACATTTTAATCCTCAAAATTTTGAGTAAAATCGTAGTGACTTTTGTGTGAATTTATACACAGATTTGTCAGTGGCTAGGTAGGTAGCATATCATAGCAGAAACTCGAGTCAAAAAGCATTTCAGATCCAATTTCAGCTCTATTGACAGGTTGGGTTAATTTTAGGAAATTTTTAAAAACTTCTGAGCGTCAGTTTTCTAGTCAATAAAAATGGGGATAATAATATATACCTTTCAGGACACAGTAAACTAGCAATAATGTTTATAAAGAATCTGACATAAAAGATTTTTTTTTAATTATTGGTCTGAACTTGAACAGGATGGATTGGATATTATTTGAATAAACCCCTTCCCCAACAATTATGAAAGATGAATAAAATATTAGACAGTGGCCAATGTAAGGTTATGACCCTTTAGGGAAAAAAGACATAGGAAATTAAGGAAATGAACACATTAGATGAGCTCCATATTCATTTTAACCGTTATCCTGAGGGCATTTTCCTAACCATAGTTCAGGGTAATAGTACCCAGAGAGTGGCACTCTCACTAAGTAGAAGAGAGAAAGATGAGCGTGTAGAGTGCAAAGGCCACTGGTACTTGGTGGACAGAATTACAGAGAAGAGAGACCTAAGAGAAGGAACAAAAAAAAACTCTGTGTGAAAATTTCATTCAGAGCCAACTCCTAAGCTGTACATGTGCTGGGCAAGACTCTGGGAGGCTCAACAAAAAGACTGCTCAGAAGATGGAAAGCCGGACAAAGTTTCAAATGTAGCACAGTGCTGGGAGGAACAGAGGTTGGTATTTAGGCCCAGTGGTTGTAAAGTAGTTGGTAAACTACTCAGACTTTTGGCTGAGGCTCCAAAAAAGTCTACACCCTAGGTATAAGGATCACTTCATAGCAATAAAAGCTATGCCTTAGAACTAAGGACAAAAACCAAACCTCCTGATAAAGCTAAACTACCTGTCAAAGGTGATGCTTGCCTTCCATATTGAATCATAATGCTCTTTGGAGGAAAATACTATCATTTAAAATCTCTATAGCCTATAGTCAACACATCTAGCAATTAACAAATAATAATGACAGATGCAAAGAATCAGAAAAAAGCTGATTAGTAATCTATAGCAGGAGTTAGAAATGTTTTCTATAATATCCTAGGTTATGTAGGCCATACAGTCTCTGTTGCAACTACTTTGTTGTTGCAGTGTGAATGCAACCACAGACAAAAAAATAAATAAATAAACACGTATGGCTTTTCAATAAAACTTGATTTATAAATAGATATTGAAATTTGGTTTCAAAGAGTTTTCACGTGGCAAGAAATATTCTTCTTTTGATTATTTTTAATCAGGTATAAATGTCAAACCTATTCTAAGCTTGGAGGTTAATTAAAACCAGATCAATATCCATAATAAATATAAATGCAAAAATTCTCAACAAACAACTAGCAAACAAGTTCCAATAATATATAAAAAGAATTACATATTCACTACCATGACCAAGTGAGATTTATCTTAAGAATGCAAGGTTGGCTTAATATCTGAAAATCAATTATTATAATACACCATATTGATAAGACATAGAACAAAATCTTCATGGGCACTTCACAATAAATACAACATTAATGAATCACAAAATCTTTCAGAAACCTTGTAATATATGGGAATGTTTTGAATCTGAAAGAACATCTACAAAATAACTATAATAAAAATTATATTTAATG